TAGTTTAATTGTAGCGTATCACTACATAACATTTTTTCTTTGTTATATATCCATTAGAGATTTAAATGTCACATATCTGCTGATATAATTTGGGGTCGACAAGATCTTCTCGCGTAGAATTGGTTTGTGTTGTATGCTTCCATATTATGATTAACTAAAAGGGATTTTCTAGAACTTTTTCCTTCCTTCAAATTACTTTCAAAAGACCTTTAATATGATAAATCTTCTTAAAGAGACTCCATTATGTCCCGTTAATTCATATGTGGAGAGTGTACATAATTTCTATTGTGTATTACTGCAAACACATTCATAGAACAGAAACTAGATCATCATCATAATTGAGGGAGGAATTCTCAACATGGCGCAAACTTTTTGTCAGGCTTTAATATTACCAGTTTTCTTGAACTTAATTCACACGATTGTCGTGTAAGAGTAAGATATTGTTCATGGAGGCATTACGATTCGTTTTCATGTCTAGAACTCTAAAGCTAAATCTAGTTGGTCGAGATCTGCACATTACTGTTTGTTTCACAAGTTTGTGAAATCATCACCGGTTAATTAATTTGACATATTCATACGTGAATATGAACAGATTATTGCTACTAACTTTTAACTTTCTGTAGGGTTTCTTGTTTTCTAGTCCCAAAGCACGTGAAGTCAAGTATTCTTGTGGATTATACGTAATTGCTAGGTTTCGCCAACATCTCTTTAATTAGAGTCTTAATTTCAAACATCACTTCTCGCTTGGTTTCTCGATGTAATGAGCTTGCATTTATTGGCTGAATATAATTATCACTGTTTCGGGGTATAAAAAAACTAATCATGTTTTTCAACAAAAAAATAAAGTCGCGTGAAATTTAGGCTGACTCGCCCTTTAGATTCTGTGCGAATGGTTAAACTCCGAGAGAGGATTGACTGAAGGCGTACAAAGCAAAGCTCGAGAAATACTCGTAAGTATATCTGGTTTTGACTTTGATGGGTAGTCCTATATAATTAATATTATTTGTAATCTGCGAAATATTGAATTCTCGATGCATTTATTAATTACGATCAACAAAGGAGGGATGATGTTTCCTTGTAAGAAGCGATCATAGTGGGACCTAACCTATGTTTTGGCTCCATTATAGCAATTCTGCTAGCTAGAGACCAAAAGTTCTTATATATATAGCCACTCGGGCAGACATGGATATACCTACCTACACGACCATTTTGTTCATGATCAAACCTTTGTCGGTGGGTTATCTTAGGGTTTCTCATTTTTAATGAGTGGATATAAGATTTCCTTCATGAAGTGTCTGTGATTTTTACATCCAGGCACGTTGGGCAGATAACCAATTAATATCTAGCTACTTGCTTCACTGAATTAGGTGTAACAACACTCCTTAATTTGTTAATTTTTTTTTTCCTGGTGAGCTTGACCTAATAATTTTTATGCTGCTATATGTGAAAATAAAGGAATAGTTCATTTGAGAAAAATTGTAAAAATCACAACAAAAAAATTGAGATATTTTACTTGCATTAAATATTAACGAGATTATTTTTTAAAGAAAGTTATGCTTATTAGACTTATATATAATTATTCATAAATCAAGTGTTATATTACCATTAAAAGCCTCTAATCTTATCTGAAAAGTAAATATCATCATATATATGTTTTTTTTTTAAATATCATGCTAATTGTTTTAAACAAAAATAATTTTATTCTAACATATTAAAAAATCTAAAAAGAAGGAAGGCTAGCAGAGGCAAACCAAGGCCTACGTGCCTGGATTTTTTTTAAAAAATATAAAGCATACGAAATGTTGTATGTTGCAACAAATTTTGATTATCGAAAGTCAGAGTTTAAGTTTTAAAATACCCGAAGCTTGTTTTTTAACATTTTAACCTTAAAACATTCAAAAACATCTAAGCTCAAAACATATTAAAAACTCAAAATTAAATCCGGTTTTTTGAACTTTGTTCTACTTTTTTTAGCAAGATTAAAACTACCTTAATTAAATTCTCCTTACCAAGACACATATTAATACCAGGATTTTTTTTTTTGTTTGCTAGAAGGTAATAGATCAAAAGTTTTTCTCTCTATCCTCTTTCTTTTTAGTAGCTTTATCTCTTCTCTCTTTATTTTCAAGGATTGAAATGTAAAGAAAAATAATTTTATGACTGGAATGTAAATTAAAAAAGACAAGTACCCAAGTATAAAATGATATAACTCTATAATTAATTTTTTAATAGAAATCTTTAATGTAATGTAATGTAAAAATAATATTTATTATAGCATGTATGCACAAGCATGCAAAACACAACAAACTATAAAATATAAAACCGAATTGACATGACTTGTAAATAAAAAAACAAAGAAATAAAGTTTAGTGAACAAAATATAATAAAAAGATAGGATACCAAAAGAAAAGGAAAAATACCATGAACATTAGAGTAAACATGCCAACAAGTATGCACAGACAGCGTATTCATTATAAATCCCCTCTCTTTTATTTTTTAGTTTTTATTTTACTTTTTTAATTGATTGCTCTTGTGGAATTCAGCCTTAACAGTTTAATAAACAAATCACATTGACGTAATTCCCATGTTAGCTGCTGATCTTGGAATTCTAATCATTTGCCTTTTTTTTCCTTGTCCAGTTTCTACTTTCCATGGTAGCAGCAGCTCTTCCAAGAGCAGCTTATGTTTTTCACCTACTCCTTGAAAAAATACATGGAAAGGCAACCATCTTCTTTTTAATGCATGTTCCGTTGCAATAAACCTGCTAGACTTTTATGTATACAGATTCATCAACGACACTTGCTTCTTATAATGAAAAACAAAAACCAATATATATCATTATGCTCCTCGTTTACAAGTTGAAATTTGGATCTTACCCTTTTTTATACTAGTTCGATGGATGCTACTTGGAAGGTAACAGGGTTCTGATGATAACTTTATGTGGTGATTATAGGTAATGAATTTGCAAGCAGAGCTGGCCTACATTCAAGCCTACCTTTCAACATTGCAGTGTCTCCCTTTACGTCAGCAACCACCTCTGTGTGCTCAAAGACACTCCCTAATGAGTCTTAGTTCATCCTCAGAAGTACCATCGTTCTCCAAACTAGCTTCGAATTCTAACATATCAATGCACTTTGATCAGTTACAATTACAGCCGCAACAAGCATCCACAGAATCGACCGGTTTCTACAATCCATCAGAAGATGGAATTGATAATGAGGATCTCCACGAATTGGCTCGAGCATTTGCGTCTAGATGCTTGCCAGGAGTTAGATTTAGGCCTCCAAACTCTCCTTAGAAATTGCAGGTCTTCTTGAATTTGGCTTCTGTTGTCTTTCCAGTGCGCTCATCTTGTATTTATTTCACAATCTATCTAGTGTAATTGTACTTGTTTTTTTTACTCCGACTCCGCTTCTCTAAGCCCAAAATCTAGATTTTAGGAAATCAAACTGGTTAATCAATTTACAATCACGATTCATAACAATACGTGAGCAGCAAAGGGGAGTTTATTCTTTTAATCCCTTGGAATATTTCAACAAATTGAATGCAGGTCAGACATTCTTAATTTTGTTTTGTTTTGTTTTATTTAAAATTATTGAAATATTTCATATTAATTAAAAAATAAAATAATTTTAATTTTATTTCAAATCTCAATTTATTTTGTATTTTTCAGATAAATTTTAGCCAAAATATTTTAATTTCATTTTATATATTCTGTTTCGAATCTAAAAAACCATTAAATCAAATTAATATTTTATTTAAGTTGAATTACTTTAAGTTAAATTTAATTTTAATTATTTAGAAATATTTTAAATTTTAAATTATATTTATTTTATACTATATTTATATTACAAAAATTTATAATTAATTTATTTTAAATTTAAATTATATTTGTTAAAAGCACTTTAAAACTAAAATATTTCATTTTAATTTAAAAAATAAAACATTTACTGAAATGCCACTTCTCTAATGCTGAACCACAAGCAAGTCTTGTGGAAGAGGTTGGGTGCTTTTGCATGTCTCTAATGGTTGAGCGTGGCTTCTGAGCAGGCCCATTATCTTGTTCATCATGGCTTCCCTTGTTCGGAAATATATACATCGAAGCCGTTCTACACCGAAAACCCAAGGAAACGATTCGAATTAACTGCCATTAACTAAGCTCACACGACTCTTTTCATATATTGTTAATAATTAACTCGTTGCTCTTTATTAAGCAACAGCTGCTATCATTATGAAAAGAGAGGACCTTAGCATTGGCATGTTGGTTACTTAAAATGCACATCCCGCCGCATTAGGTCATACAGGAATTACCTTCCTGAGTTTCCTTAATGATCCAGCATTCAAATTGGATTTTTTAGTTCCTAAATTTCTCGAATTATTTATGGGGTAACTAACCTTTTAACATTATACAACTTCAATATGAGAGAAAACTCCTCACCTGAATCTTTCTTTTTTAATAGTAGAAAGGATAAGCTCGAATCCAAAGTTTTTATGAGTTTATTACAAAGTGGGTAAACACTCAAATAAATAACATATATATATATATATATAATATTTGACAAATTAAAATGATTTACAATAGTATTAAATTGCATAAAATAAATAATGCAAATGAATATCTAATTAGAAACAAAATAAATTTTAAGAGAAACACAGGTAATCAGACTCAATCTTAAATCTTGATGGAGTCGCTATTCTGTCAGGATTTTCATATTCGGTTTTTAGCAATTTGGGATGATTGTGTGATGATGGGAATTGCATATGATCATTGTCTAAGAATCCATTTTGAATGTTCGTGCAATGTGATTTAAGAACTTTTGGTTCCTATATTTGGGCGTCTGTGGAGCAATGATGATGTGATTTAAGAACTTTTGGTTCCTATATTTGGAGCAATGATGATGCTCTTTTGACTAATTTTAATACACGAATAATCTGTAGAGCAACCGTCATAATTAAGCAAATATGTGAATGCTGTGACATCCCTGTGTGGAGTTCTTGGCATGGATTTTAAAAAGAAATTGCATGATATCTATCCAAGCTTGGATGACGGTCAAGGAGTGAAAGACATGACTGACGATAACTACTGGGATACAACGCTTGCGGGTGGTCAAGATTGGTTTTTTGACAAAAACCAGTAATGTATTTTTGCAAAACTCTTGTCGTTTTCTTTATCGTGCTTGGTTCTTTTAATGCTTTGGATTCTTCCAGCTTCAGGATCTTGCAACTGCCCTTGTCGAGATTTGGAATTTGATAGACCATCAAAAGGAGGAGCAAAAGGCGTTTTGGAATATCAGTGCCAAAATTGCTGCTTCATAACCTGAGATCAGTGAGCCTCATATGCATTCCACGGACTTTAAACTCCACGTGAGTTGAAACTTATGGGTGGAATAATTTGTTCAATCTACTGTTACGCACTTAGATCATTTTAAGAATTAAAGTGTATTCAAGTGTTTATTCAACTCTTCACTGTCACAGGTTGAGGAGGAAGTGTTGAGGCTAGAGAAACTCAAATCAAGTAATGTGATAGAGCAGGTCCTCAATAAGAGGTTGGAGCTAGATGAGACATGCTGGACAACACATTTGGTCTTGGAAGCACAGACTGCTGCTAAATATTCCAATGAAGCTGTGGCATCCGGAAAGTACTACTATGAAGCGATCTGCAAACTATGAATACTGTTGTACCAGTAGAACTCTTGAATCTTGATTTTCTAAAATGCCAACGCCAACCAGGTTTAAGATGTGGAAATAATGAATAAGATTTGCATGTTTCTCCTGGGTGTGCAGATCTTTTAATATCTTGGTGTAATATAACCTTCTGTTGTAAATTCACATTCAAATCGACCTATATGCTCAAATATTTGCAACCATATTACTGTCCTTCTGTTACGGGATTATCATTTTGCAGAGGTTGAAGACCCGGTGCATCTATTAGAAGAGATTGAGCTTGATATTGCAATGGTTAAAGAGGGGGCCTTTAGCAGGAAGCATATGCTTGACAAGGTGGAGAGGCGGTTGACTGCATGTGATGAAGAGGCCTGACTTGAGGAGTACAACAGAGTTGGAGTTTTTTTTGCTGCTTTTGTAACTGAATTGCTCTTCCACTTTTCTCCATTTCTTGTTTAAACCTCCATGCATGTTGCCTTTTCTGGGATGAAAATAGTTACAGTTCCGGAAGAGGAGTCCACCTATCCCTTAAGCATGCTGAGAAAGCCCCCGTCATGGTTAAGAAAGTTCCTGGTGAATATGCTTTGACATCACTGTATAATTTTTAGAAAAAATGTTAGTGATTTAAACATTTTTAACTCTGCATGGCCTCACAGATGCGAGCTTTTTCAGAGTAGTTTGCCAATTAGATTATTTACAGCTTTAAATTGATCTTCATTTGTGGTACATCTTTTAAATGATTTACTCTGTTTCACTTGGTTGTAGAGTAAGGATGGTTGAGACATCGACTTCAAAGATCACGGCTTGGGAGAAAGAAAGAGGAACTCCATTCTTTTATGATGGTCTTTTGAAAGAACTCCAAAGTCTGATGCGATGTCTTGTTTCCAAACAGGATACGGCCTGTTATCCAATATTATAGTTTTGGTTTAACATCCTCACTGCTCTTGCCACTCGGTCTTTCTGTTGCATAGGAAAGACTTCTTTCTAGGCCTGAGCAGTACAGCAGTCTAAAGAAAGAAAAGGAACACGACAGAATCAGGCTAAGACTACGGTTCTCATTTTATTTAGCTTTATAGGAAAAGGTGTACGGTTATTTTTACGAAACATTTCCTCACACCTCTTATTGTAATTATCCATGCATTATAGGACCGGAAGAAACGTCGGGCACAGCTGATTGCAGAGCAGGAAGTGTCTTTTTCCGGTCAAAACCAAGTCCATCACAGAGCGGGAGGAAGCCTTCTAGAACTTCCATGGGAGTTGCAGAGTCGAAAACTCTCTCTTGGTAGAGCAATGCTTCGAAACTCCAAAGCTGAAAAAAAAAAATCTCCTCTTGTGAATCCAGACAAAAAGGGCAATGTCTTAGACCGATGCAAATCTTCAAGACACGGGCTATACGGTGGTTTTGCTTCTTAGTTCTCTGGTAAATCTTTGTACAAATTGGATTTTTTCTTCCTGCATGACAGTACTGGGATCTACAAGAATATTATCCTATTTTGAATGTTAAATTGATGAATGGTTCCTGGCATTCTCAGCTGGAAGAACCGACTGTTTGGTCAGTTGCAAGCAAGACACTTCATTAGTTTGCTACTTGAGAGCCATAAGCCCACAACACACTAATCATTTCGAAATTTCCCGTTTCGAATCTTTCTATTCTTCACTCTTCAAGTTGTGCAGAACTTTGTAGGTAGGAGAAACTCGGAGATTTTTGGTCAACTAGTCAAGAAGCTCCCCTCTACTGCTGCTGCAAAGGCACGTAAAAATGAGTCAAGCTTGATCCGGAAGCCCGTCTCCTGGGGCCAACATTGTTAACTTAGTGGAGGATCAGAAAATAACACCAATTGGAGCATTAAACACAAGACACCAATGCATATACCTTCAAATTTGATCTATGCTGGAGATGATGAAAAAAGAAACCTGACACGCTGGCTATTCCAGTGGCTTAAACTCCTCCAACAACATCAGTTCCTATGCTGACGGTCTTAACACCAGCTTAAACTCCTCCAACAACA